GTTTCGATCAGCTCTTCGCTTGAGCCCTGGCTGCTCAGCTTATGTGCCGAGGTTCGTTCGCTATACCCCGTGCCTCTGTTGCGGGCATCGCGAGCCCGTTGGAGCGTCGCATTCTCGATTTTGAGAGCCCGATACGCCCCTTCTAATTGGGACAGTCGCGCCAGCGCGTCAGAACTACCCGATGCGGCACCAGACCGCACGAGGGCCTCAAGCCGCTCTATCTTTTTGGTGCGTGCGCTCAGGCTGTTCTCGAGCGTCTGGTATTCCTTCCAAAGGTCTCGTTCTACCGACTTGATGCGAGATTGAAAGCTGCTCAGCATCGACTCGATCATTTTAATGGCTGCTAGTAAATTTTTACTAAACCCGGGGAGCATCGTCGCTATCGACTCGACGGATGGTAGCGCCCGGCCGTTAATCAAACTGTTGTCGTGGGCCCAGTCAGAGCCGCACAGCATGGATAGACGTGACCACAACACCAATAGCAGGTTGTTACGCTCAGCGAGCTGCTCCTTAAACGCGGCCTCGAGCTGAGATATCCTCCTCTTGTCTGACGCTCGCGTGGACTCGAGCTCCACGATGCGTGAATCTTGGCTAGTGACTGTACGCGATACATGTTGGTGAGTGCGTTCGAATGTCTCGAATTGGTTTTTAGTGAGACGATGGGCCTGCCGCTCTTTATCGAGTAGGTCCCCGAGCTTCCGAGACTCGAGCGCATGCGTCTCCAGCAGACTATCACGTTGCTTGATCATGCGCTCTTTTTCGAGGAGAGAGTTCTTCGTGCTGTCGAGCTCACGGACAGTTGTTTCTAGCTCACGCTGAAGCGTGGCGATAGACTGGTGACCGATCAGTTGTGTCTCCTTGCAAACGTGGCATTAGATGGGGTATGGATCTTACCTGCAGTAGACTGGACCGAGTGCCATTCAAGTCTCCAAGAGCCTCTCGTAAGTTACTCTCGAGCTCCATGAGTCTCTCCTTCCACTGTGTCGCCTCTACTTCCCGGTTTCCAAGGCTCTTACGGAGGAGCCTAGCCTCTTCCTTAGCCGAGGATGCCTCGCGGTTGAGATCATTCACGACCTGCTGTGCATCTTCTTTCTCGCGGGCGGCAGTCAGCTCGTGCTGCTTACGCTCATCGGTGAGCCGCTGATCGAGCTCCTTAGCACGCTCACGCTCATTTGCAATGATCTGCTCGGCGTTGGCCACGGCGGCTTCTAAGTCACCAATCCGGATCTTGTCACTCTCCTGCTCCTCGCGCAGGAAAGCGATTTCCCCTTGGCTCGATTCTTGCTGTACACCAAGTCGCTGGCCCTTTTCATTGGCTTCCAAGAGCTGGGTCTCCAAGTCTTCAAGTTCCTTACCCGAGTCTGCCAGTTCCTGCTCAAGCTGCTCGATCCGTTTCTGTGTCTTTACTTGCTCGTCTTCCAGCTTGATGAGGGACTCGGTCATCCTGCGCATTTCCTCCTGGAGGGCTTCGAAATTTTCCGAACGGTCTTGAAGATCTAATTGCAACCGATTATTTTCATCGGTGTGCTGATCGATTTCTGACTCCAGCTCGTTGACAAGTGTCTGTGCCTCTTCTCGTAGGTCTGCGAACTTGTTCTCCCAGATAGCCTGGTCCTCTAATGCTTCATCTCGCTCGGACTGAATTGTCATCAGATCATTCATCGTGTTCTCTAGCTCGTCCTGGATAGCGGCGATATGTTCTTCGGCCTGTCTTTTGCCATCCATCGCATCTTCCAGATCTGCCATGTACGTCTCTACCTCTCGTTGGAGTTCTTGATTTTTGAACTTCAGCTCGTTGAATTTATCGCGCTGTTCCGCTATCTTATTTTCCAATTCTTCGCGTTCCGGATCCTCCACCGCCATGGTTAACCGAGTCCGCCCGCTGCCCCTTGAGATGGGGCGATCATTCGCCCCGACCCTCGAGGCCGATCGATCCAAAATACTGTCCAGAGTTGAGGGCGCCGGGCCACCACGTCTCTGGGCTAGCTTGAGGTCCTCGATCTCCTGGTACAGCCGCTCTTTCTCGCGATTCCGAGAAGTAAGCATTGAAGTCTGCGCGCCGACTTCTCTACGTAGCTCTGCATTTTCATGGCGTAGCTTCTCGCTCTCTCGGCGGAGTTCTTCGACCAGTGTCGACGACTGACTCAAGCTATTGGTCTGGTCGGCATCGCCCGACAAACCGGAAAGGGGGCGTGACCGCGTAGGGGAAGCCTGCCTTGGTTTTCTCGTGGGATTGTATATGCTGGTGGCATGGGGCATGGTGCTCGCCCCCAATGATAAAGACCCATTCGACTCCTGCCGTAGCTGGAAGATCTCCTCTCGCAGCGTCCGATTCTCCTCGTCCGCTTGCTCACGACGTGCCGTTTCTTGCTCTAGAAGATCTTTCCAGACATCTGTCTCTTCCTGCCTTCCTAGGGCATCTCCTGTACGGTCGGTAGACCTGTCTCCTATTGCCTTGACGGTCTCTACTAGCTTTCTCTTCTCCAGTTCGCCAGCCATGTTGTCCGATCTAAGTCGTTCAATCTCCCGTACATATTCTTCGATTTGCTCACGCAGCAGTATAAGTTCCTCCTCGTTTGTCTGCGCACCCGATTCAGACGAGGGCGTTACTCGCCCCTCGGACGAGAAGCCGCTCCGAGCAGTGCTAGGACGGCCTTCCTCATCGCGGAGCCGCTTCTCGAGATCCTTGGCTCGGCGCCTCAGTACTTTATTGTCCCTTTGAAGGACGGCCACCGTGGTCCGTAGTTCGACATTCTCCGAGATCATCTCCTTAATACCCTCTTCGGAGAGTTTGTCTAAGCGGTCCGAAAGGAACATCACTTTGAGCTTGAGATCGAAGTTTTCTTTGGAAAGCCGATCGATGGTGCTAGACTGCTCTTTCAACGTCATGCTCCTCCCACCCCGCGCGGCGGTGTTGGGTGCTGATGTAAAGTCGGAGGATTTCGGATACGGCGGTAGCGGCGTCGACAAGCCACCCTTCGACTGGTATTCCTGGGCCAGAGACTCGGGGACTTCGACATTGCGGACATGCCGTGCGATGGTGGTATCCGTGGGGGGTTTGAGGGCACCTCTCTTGGGCTTGGGAGTAACCAGTGGGTCAGCCGCACGTTCCTGTACGGGACTATCGACTTCTTGGAGGGGCTCGAGCGGACCTTGTCGCAGAGAATCGAGGCTGTCTTCCAAACCAGAGGCCATGCTGCCCATACTGATGGAGCGAGAGAGTTCGCGGCTGGTACTGCGAGTGAGGCCAAAGGCCGGGGCGGCTCCTCCCGAGTGGAGAGCATAATCAGCACCCATGCCAACAGTGACATCGCTTTCTACATCGTCGCTGCTGGTGAGGAAAGAGGAAGACGAGCGCAGGCTGCCATTTCTACTGTGCAGGTATCTGGGACGTTGGGGTTGAGATACCTTGGAGGTATTACCCAACGCGGCACCAGCGTCGGTAGACACGACACTCGTGGTTATGTCGGAGCTGCTGTAGTCCGGGTTGCGGGCATCGGCCGCAGACACGCTGTCGCCATCGTGCCGGGTATCTTCCATGTTGGAGCTATCCTGGGTCAGTGCGACGCCGTCGCCATGCTCGCTTGATAGTTCGTGAGCTGTAGTGTTGGTGGCCGCAGAGGCAGCCCTTGACATCGCGCGCGCGGCAGCAGCAGTTGTGGGAGAGGATAGGTTCTCGAGGGCAAAGGTGGCATTTGTGGTGTCGATATCGCCCGGCAGGGGCTCGGGTAGCAACGACGACTCCGGGTGGGCTGGCGACGTGGTCACGGTTGGGGTTGGATGTGACAGAGCATGGGTACCAGCCGGGGTATTCGGGTCCGCTGTAACGGTAGTTGTGGGCATGGGCGATCTGCGAGTCGGCTCCTGGCTGATGTCTGGCACTTCGGGCGTCGTCGACACGCGAAGACCTGGTGAGCTGGTTCGCAGGTTTTGCTGCCGGTGGTCCTTTTTCTCTTCCAGGTTGTCTTGCTCTGGTTGCCCTCGCCGCTGGGAGTGCTTTCTAGAGGCATCGAACAGAAAAGTGTCGTCTATACCGGCATCGGGGCCGGTGACCCGAATAGTTGGGGAAGTGGGCGGGAGAAAGCTCGATTCCACGTCTTGCAGGTGGGCGCGAACATGTTCCTCCTCGGTCATGGAATCCACGAGCTGCTCGTCGTCGGGCTCGAGTCTCGTGGTCTCGACAAAGCTGCTGTTGTCGGCGAAAGGGGGCATGCGTGGAGGTTGGGGCTGGAGCCAGTGCTGCTTCGGCTCAACTCGACCATGGCGACCAAGGCCATGGTTGTCGCCGTCTTCCATGGCGAGCGAGCATGCGCGAGATGATTGCGGTCGGATGGCTGAATATCTGCAATGTAAAAAGTTGCAGGGGTATATATAAATGGATGCGTGCCGTGGGCATGAGGCGCGTGGATGGATTGGACCGGTACGTATTTAGGTGGACGCTTCGCTTGGTCGAGTGCGCAGAAACGCCAAGATGGGCACGGCAGAAGCTGAGCAGATCCTCTCTCCAGGAGACATGGCCGGGCATGACCCGGAATTTGCTGTTTTCTTATGTAATGTACCTGATACGTCAATACCACGGCTAATCAGGCATCAGACACGTGCAATCGGGGTACCAGGTACCTTGACAGAGCGCAGTACCCCCATTGTTGGGCCACCGCTGGAACTCGGCCAGTCGTGGAATTTAGCGAATGCACGCGACACGCGACACCCCTAGTTAGTCACCCGGTTGGTACCCACATATTTGGGTGGCCGACCTGTGTTGGCGGCCTGGATGGGTTCGCAGGCGCTTTGTAGACCAACCAAGGCCCATCACCCATACCATGCCTCTTGGAGTCTCAGGTACCAGATCATAAGTTGGGCACAGACGCTGTTCTCTCAACATATCTAGGTCAACTCACCTCACACTGTCGCTACTACGGTCCTGGCAGTATTCGAGATTGTGATAATAGATGCGGCCCGGAAGGACGATACATAAACCACAAATGGTGGTCGGCCCTATATCTCGATTGGTCTAGTGGCAAGGATACCTGCTTGTCATCGAATTCGCAGGTGGCCGGGGTTCGATTCCCCGATCGAGAGTTTTTTGGTGTCTGTTAATTACCCTGATACTGTTGGTCATCGGCCGTGGTAGCTTTTTTTCTCTGCCTCCTGTTCCGATTCGGATTTGATTCACACACGGCATACTGACTGGATTCTATTAAGTTTACGGAATACACTGCGTGATCCTTCGCAATTCTAAACCCAGGGAGAATACGGCACTATTAGTTGCCTCTTGGTTCATCTTACATTCTGAACACTTCGTCGGATGAGAATACAAAATGAGACAAAATATCAACGAGACCTCAGGTGAACGTTTCAACGTCTGTTACAATCCTAATATCTCATTCGCCTTCTTTATCACCCGTCGCGCCCCGGGACCATCTTGAACTTTCGGCGCAAATTTCCTGAACCCCAAAGCTCGCAGGCCGTCCGCACGGGCGTGCACCTTAAGGTAGGGTAGGGTAGGCCGATTGACATGCCGAGCCTCGCCTTGACCACCTGGAAAGTCCGGCCCGGGAGTCCCATCTAGAAATGCCTTCTTCTGTCGTACCAGATACTGAGTGTTTCGCTCGGTCACGGGGCAGATCGGGATGTAGAGCACGCTCGAATCTGACAGGCCTTCGTGGATCTTGTCGACGGCGTGGATCGCTGCGGCGAATTCGGCCGGTTAGATCTCATATCATCTGCTAGGAAGGATAGACTTACTGTCACAATGCCACACGACGAAATCCCCTGGTTTAACTTGCGGGATATGGACCATACTTGTGTCGAGTTCGAGATGGGGGTGGAGATCGGTATTCAGCTCCTGGCCGTAACCGGCCGTGGCTCCCTGCAATTCACTCGTCATCTCAGATCCGGCGAATACCCAGTTGTCCGCCGAAAGATACGCATCGGCGGAAACCTCTCCACGTCCTCGAACGGGTCGAAAAAACGGCCGCAGGAGATAGTACGCGGTCGAGTACTGAAGCAACGGGTTCACTAACAAGGTACCCTCGAAAGCTTTTGTGTGGCTCATGCTCAGCCATCCCTGGAACATCCGGAACATCGAACAAGCACCCAGCCCGTTGTAGTTGTCCATGACGACGGGGACTCTCGTGCTGGCGTCCCACGGGTTGTACGCCTCCCAGGACCCTTCGAACACCTTATCATAGACGCCACCGATCCCATACCCATTCTTCTCCCACCGTTCGAGGCTGCCGCCATCCACATGGGGACCCAGGGCAAACGTCATATCACCGGGTTGCCTGATGCGAACACGATCGGCGTAAGCCAGGGGCTGTGACAGCGAAATGGCGCTCTCACCGTCCGACAACTGCCAAAGGTTCATGAGCTTCGACTGTGCCTTCAGAATGTTCGCGTGTGTCCGCGCGCGAATTTGTGGGCTCGACCAGTATAGCTCGTACACCTGGGGGTTATTCTGTGGAAATGCTAGACCAACAGTCACAAATCTAGCTGTGAGGGTATGTGTAGTCATACCTACTTACCGCGTGTAGAGGGGTTCTGCCGGACATATTCCTCGATTTCGGGTTTGTACGCGCGAGCCTCCTTCTCAGGTATCACGCCCCGGATGACAGCAACACCCCTCTTCTTGACCTCGGGGCCCAGTCTTGCCAGGTCTTCTTCGAGACTTGCAAACTCCAGGCTGGGGATGACATTGGACCCTTGTTTTGCGAGGGCACTGTTCTCCACTTGAAGGTTGGCAAGGAGTCTTCTCCAGCTTGCGATAACCTGGTCCTCATGGCCAGCTACCAACGACCTCTTGAGATCCAGGAAACGGTTCGGTAGTGGGGGCTGATCCTCTCCTGACAAGGACGCGAAAGAGTCCGATATATCGCCCTCCCTCTTTGCCTGGGGTATTGTGTTAGAAGGCATCATGGACACACAGCGCTCCGGCCTTGCCCTCCGGATGGCCGTCCTATAGAGTAGAATGATGTTGGCGGGCACTAGTCCTGGAGACGATCTCATCAGTGCGGGCGTAAGTTTATATGCATTTGCGATCAGGTGCCGAAACGGAGCAGGATAGCGCAGATCCATGATATATATACACTACACATCTTACCACATCTTACCACATTTTACCACATTTTACTTCGCATATGCATATGAGGATGGTCAGACTTGTCTCTTGGATCAACGGCGGGACGTCCGCGTAGAGCAACGGGAGGCGGGAGGCACGAGACACTGCTCCGGGACAACGATGCATCCCGCGAAACCAAGCGGGGAAATGATGAACAGAAGCTATGATATAGTGTCATCATCGTACTGAGAACTAGGGATCTACAGCGGTGGACGGAAGTTCACAGTCGGAGAGACCGGGATAACGGGCAGCATGCATCGGCGGACTAGCTGACTTGGGACACTCCGCCACGTCGGAGTTGGTCTGCCAAGTATTCAAAGTCCGGGCGGAAGAACCACTTTGAGTACCTGACCGACCCAATACTGTCCAACTTTTACGACCGCCGACCAACTTTAAGGTAGGGAGCTTACTAATAAGGAGTTCGAGCGCAATAATCTCGTTCAGGCAGATAACCCATCACCGTGGCATTCAATCTCGTTTACACAACGCCTTTCTTGTCTCAGAACAAGACGGCGGAGTTTGCCAATTCGGCTGCTGCCGCTTGTTTTTTGTTTTGTTTTGTGTTTACATCCCGGTACTTCCATAGATAGGTAATGAGTATTATATGAATGATCTTCGTAATCTATCGCCGCTGAGTTATGGTCAAATTCGTGGAGTCGGACACCACCGGCTTGCCGCTCAAACGGAAACAAGTCGCTCACGCCTGCGAGAAGTGTCGGCGCCGGAAAAAGCGATGCGTCCATACGGACCCCAAGGCGCACGGTGATCTGCCCTCGGCTGCGTCATCCAGTAAGTCGGCAGAGACAGGAAGATCACAGAGGTCGCCCAGGACCCTGAGCCGCCGAGACCAGATTTCCACTCCGAACGCCTCTTCATCTGCCGCCCCGGACACACAACTGCTTTCGACAGCCCTTCATAATGGGGATGGACGCGAGGATGCCCATGCTTCGACCTTTCTGGGCGATTTAAACCCAGAGGCCATCCTCATGGAGGCCACCAGTCTATGCTCTCACCGTGACGTTTCGGCACCTGGCGGCCTAGGCATCTGGCAGGCTCCGATTCCTCCTCGCCCGAACGCCCAGAGCCTGGGCGTCCCCAGCGTCCAGTCGTCCTCGCGACAAGCGGTACGAGATATGTTAAGATCCTATATATGGAATCACTGCCTCCCATGTCGCCCCCCGGCCCCCGATTATGAGGTCCTGAAACGTATCTACTTTGAGAAAATGAACCCTATATTTCCCATACTGGACGATCCTTCCGCTTGCGACCACCTCGATGAGCCGACGGAGGTCTTGATTCAGCAGGTCGTGAGCCTTGCCGCCGCCGCTGACCCAGAAGCCACGCAACACCTGCGCGTGAGCCCCAATGGCCCTCTGTTGTCTCGCCAGGAATTCTGCGCCTGTCTGTCCAATTCTGTTCTTACGACGCTGGACGCCGGTATTCTGACGGACCGGGTGTGGCTCATGCGCCTGTCCGCCGCCCTGTCGTTATACACGCAGCCGACGAACGTCGAAGAAGCCGACATCCCAGCGCTCCTCAACAGCCGTGCTGTCCATCAGATGCACACTTTGGGGGTTCACATGGCCGTGGACCACGGGCACCAGAAAAGAGATATGATCCGGACTATCTTCTGCTGCCTCTGGGCGCTGGATCGCATTACAAGCGCGTTCTACGGCCGTGCTTGCATGATACACGAAAGAGACGTTGGCTGGGATCTGGACGATTGTATTCGGGCACAAACGCCCTCCTTCCACCTACTTCTGGTGATCGTTAATCTACTTGATCAAGTGATTGCGCTGTACCGTCCCGGAAACCGGCATAACGCGCTTACCCACATACAGTTGCCCATATTTGAGCAGCTGGTTCTGGACACGGGGGCGTCGAGGTTACCGAATTCCTGTCTCGGTGCGTGCTACTCAAATTCAGAAAGAGAACAGAGATTGATGAGGCTAACCTTGTATCCAGCCTCTCTGGAAATATTCTACCACTCGGTGGCCGTTTTGTCAAGCCAGTCTCCGGCTGATGTCACATCATCAGCTTTACCAAACCCCGCCACCAACAGTCGGAGATCTTGTAAGTAATTCTCATTCTCTTGGAGACTTGGGCCCTGCAGGAGTAAAGCGACAAGACTCAGGCTCAGGCCAGGCTTATATAGAGAGGTCTCTATATATGGCACCGGAAGGTTCCTACTCTTCCACGACCCAGACCATACCCAAGACTGCGGGACTAACTCTGAGCGTTGCAACTTGCAGTAGCAGCAGATCGTATTACATCCATCATCGGCGAGGAGTTCGCTGGGCAGCTTTCATACATGCCATTCATACCGTACGGACTGTCTCTGTCCCTCAGCGTGTCGTATCGGAAAATGAGGCACAGTAAGGTTCCCATGTTTAGAAATCGCGGTAAGCGGGCTTTTCGTAAGAGCACACTGCTCTTGAAATCGATGGACGACATGTTCTGGAAATCAAAGACCATGGTGGCCATGGCAGAGCAAGTTCTCAACGAGATGGACAAAACTGTCGCATCGCTCGCTCAGGAGAACGGACTCACCGATGTTCAGAAGAGAGTCGATCCTATTCCACAAGGAGAGCGGCCCCAGGTACAGCCGGAAGAGATTCGACTTCCGGACTTTGCAGAAAACGTGACTGAAGGTAACAACGAGTGGAGTTTGCTTGATACCATACCCGACCTGGACGTATTTGGACATTTTGACCCCGGATTCGATTTAGGAGCCGTTGACGCTGCACTCGAAGGTAATCTTGATTTCGGCACATCGACAAACTGGTTTGATTGGCAGCGTATGATCCCTGAGAATCTTCGTTATCCCTAGAACTAAAACCGTAGCCTACCGAGCGGCACTCGTCTCCCTCGTAGATATCGGAAGACCAGAAGGCCCATCGTCATATATGCCTCATCCATCTAGATATATAGTCACTTTCCCTCAATTATCTGCACTCACGGC